TCTTTTAAAAATCTGCGCCAATTTCTAATGAATTGTGGGTGGCATGGAGGGAATTCTTCACACTTCATTTGGTCCTGCTTCATAGTTTATATCCTGTGTCCCTCCCTTCCCCTGGCTGAACCCCCCGTCCCCGGTCTGGTAGACATGAGCTGTTCTTTTCTTTTCAACGGCCTTGTGGCTGCAGAGAACCCCTCTTTGATTTGGGCTTTTAGATACTCATTTAAAGTGTTTGTTTCTGCATATTAATTCCTTCCTTCCCTAAGACTCCTCATCTTCACTCTCCCTTAACTCCAACAGCAGTGTGGCGTGTGACGTGGCATTTGTCACCCCCATTGCACAGAAGGGAAACTGAGGTTCTGATAGCAGTGTGGGGCTGTGGGAAGATTCTGGCCTTGCTGGGCGGCATGATGAATGTGACAGGTCCTTGGAAAGTCACACAACCCTCCAGGGCTGCCTCTTTACTGGTCATATGGGAAGGAGATAAGATTTCTACGCCTGTAAGGAGGTAGAGTGATGGGGTAAAGAGGATGGGATTTGGCCCTTAAAGCTCTGGCTCCACCACTCAGTTTTGTGACCTTGGGCAAGGCATCAGACCTTCCCTTCTTCCCTTGTAGAATGGTGATCCCTGCAGCACCTCAGCAGGATGGTTGTAAATACTAGAGGCACTGTCTGGGAAGTCCTAGCAACATGCCTGGTCTGAATGGGATATAGTAGCTGTTCTTTGGCCTTTTTGGCCTTTGGGATATAGTAGCTGTTCCACCTCCCCTGCCATCTGGGATTCGGCTGTTTGTCCAAGAGGACCCCAATCATTATGGTGGAGCTGGAATTAGAACTAGAACCCAGGTATGCTGGCTTCAGGCCCTGAGCTCCTGGGAGGAGCTATCTGTAAGCACCCTGGTTTTGTGAGCTGGGTAATCCTTGCTGTGGGTAGGCCTTTCTGTACACAGTAGAGTGGTAGTTCTCAACTGGGACTGATTTTGCAAGAGATACTTGGCAATGTCTGGAGAGTTTTTTCATTGTCTCAGCTTGGGAGGTTCTACTGACTTCTAAGGGGTGGGGGCCAGGTATCTGGATTGTTCTGGGATGGCTCAGCACAGTGATTGGGGACTTCGAAGGCACACACCAAGAAACAGCAAGTCATCAAGACCCCTGGTCGGTGACAGCTGACTCTGAGCCCTTGCAAAGCTGCCCTGCAGCGTCAGCACCGGCTGGGAAATCCTTGTGGATTCTTGTGGATATTCACATAGAGGGAGGGGCATGACTATCCCCACTCACTGGGCATAGTGCTAGCAACAGCTGCCACTTATCCAGGGCCCATTGGGAGCAGGGGCAGCATGCTCAGTGAGGGACCTATGCTCTCACTGATCTCCCTGATCAGCAAGGAAGACACTGCTAACCTCATTTCACAGAAGTGGAACAAGGCCATACGGCTTGTGAGGGGCAGGGCCAGACCTAGGGCAGAACCCAGGTCTCCTTAGCTCCAAAGCTCACACGCAATGCATGAAATTGCATGACCTTCCTTAGAAAGTAACACCCCCCCATGAGGCTTCTCCAGCAATAATTTTAATAGAATGCTTATCCACATCCCTATGTCAGCATTGGCCACCTAATTTTGCCACCGGCCAGACTGAATTTACCACTGCTGCAGAAAACAAGTAGATAAGAATCTTAAAACTTATCACACATTGGGAGGGAGGGCAAGGGTGCCCCTATTTTGGATGTGTCATGCCAGTTTGGGAAGAGGGAGAATTTAGCAGTTAGGCACAGTATGGTCCTAATTTGCCCTAGAAAACTTCTTGGGTGCTTTTGGGAAAAACCCGTACAACTTTTTTTTTTTTTTTTTTTGAGACAGAGTCTTGCTCTGTCACCCAGGCAGGAGTGCAGTGGCATGATCTCGGCTCACTGCAGCCTCTACCTCCCAAGTTCAAGTGGTCCTCCCACCTCAGCCTCCCAAGTAGCTGGGACTACAAACACAAGCCACCACACCTGGCTAATTTTTGTATTTTTTTTGTAGAGACAGGGTTTCGCCATGTTGCCCAGGTTTTGTCTCGAACTCCTGGGCTCAAGCGATCCACCCGCCTTGGCCTTCCAAAATGCTGGGATTACAGGTGTGACCCACTGTACACAGCCAAATCTGTACATCTTTAATGCCTGTCTTGAATGCCACAGTGGTTGGAGCACAGTGTGAAGTTAAGAAACAGTGCAATCCTGATTAAGAGCCTTCTCTCCTAGTTAGAGTACACCATGCTCTGTCATGTCACAGGACCTTTGCACAGGCTACTCGGGGGACCAGCAGCACCTTTGCTCTCTATCTTTCCCCTGCTTTCCCCTCTACTTTGCTTCAGTAATTTATTCTTAGGGTTCATATTAAAGAATAATTCCTTAAGAAAGCACTTCTGCCCCATGTCCATGCTAGTCCACCTTCTGGCATATGCTATTATGCATTAGCTATGCTTCTTTAGGGGATCAGTATTATAGTTATATCTAATTTGTTAATGTTGGTTTCCTTCTTCCACTTAATCGTAAGCTCCATGAAGGTAAGGAACACATTGGTCTCACTCAGCTCTTGTATGCCGAGTGCCTTGCATTTGCCTAGTACATGCTAGGCACCAGCCAACATTGGATGGGTGAATGGATAGTTGGACGAATGGATTGAGCTAGTTAATTTCATTTCCTTTCTCTTAACTCCAGTCAATAATCTCTTCTTAGGGAATTGTAATTATCTGTTTATATGTCTCTCTTGAGCCTCTTTGAAGAAGAACCTATCTTTAGAAGCTCTGAGTCTAGCTCCATGCCTGACATATAGTAGATGGCTAATAAAAGTTGACCATATGGTTGTTTAAGACAAACTCTTGCCCATAAGACAAGCAGTTCCAAGAGCTCATGCTGCTGCAGAGAGGACCCTAGAGAGTTATTTTCACACATAGAGGATAAGGATGGTGAATTTATTCATAGAAACAGAATGAAGTGCATTCCTGCTTCCCACCCGTGCCATGCTTAGCTCCTCGGTAAGGTCTGCTATTCAGGTTGCCAGTTACTGTACTGACTTATTTGTACATAAACAGTTATTCCCCATAACCTTCCCTTCGCCAACATTCAGAGATAATGATATACAATCTTTGTAACATTACAGATGTTGCTTCAAAAACACTCTGTTGCTATAGGAATGTTTGTGATGTGCTTATCGCTAGAATTTCATAAGCAACAAACTCCAAAATTGCAGATGATTTAACATTTGAAGCAGGAATTGAGAGTGTATGTGTGTTTGCATTAAAAAAAAAAAAAGGCTTTGAAAAAGGAAGTTTTCTTCTGCAGAGTTATCTTCTTCTAAAGCTTAAAATAAAAACTACTTAAAAGCAGTGAATTTAGAAGAATGAGCACTTTCTCTTAAACATTCAAATGGGTGAAAATGACTTGTAATGCCTCCCTCAAGTATTAAGGAAATAGGCAGTTAAAGGTTTTTTTTGGAGCTGGCTGTCACAGACAAAGGATTTCTCATTTAAAAAAAAAAAATCATTTTATAGCATTAAATAGTAGGAATGCATACCAGCAGCCCTTTTGACATTTTGAAAATGATTTATTTTCTGAAATGTCCCAGTCCATTTTACTAGATGACTCTTTGTTCTTCTCATTCAGGGAGGGAGCTTCGGGTGGGGTTGCCATAGTTAGGGTTGGGAAGTTCAGGGTGGAGGCAGACAGGGCTCCAGGAACAGCTTTCCATGAGCCTCACACTTTGTTACCTGAACACAGCAGGTGGGTGCCACCACCTGTCTCCAGACAGCGTGGAGCCATACTTTCCCAAAGCTCCTGCTGTGGTTGTCCTTCCCAAAGAGAGACTCTCTGAACTAACTTTTTATAGTCCAGAGATTGAATTTGAAATCATTTCTCTTTCTAGCCTCCCTCTCTCAACCAAGATATCAGCTAAACATCTTAGGAAAGGTGTGCAATGTGGAAGTCTCTACCATCGCAATGCTACTACTCATCTGTGGCTCAGGAGTGGTGCTCTCTGCAAACTCTTTAGCAGTCCGTGAGATAAGTTCACAAACTGAGAGTTGGTGCTTAGTAACTTTCATGCCGATTTGACGGAATAATCTGTTGAATCAGAGAATTTAAAAGTGAGCTTGCACTTTGTATCAGTATCTTTTCATTTCCTTTTTCTAGCAGTTCATTTTTACTGTATTATATTAAAGTAGTCATCTGTAATGGTGTGGAAATTTTTTTAAAAACTGGTCCTTCGGTTGGGCACGGTGGCTCACACCTGTAGTCTCAGCACTTTGGAAGGCCGAGGTGGGCAGATCATGAGGTCAGGAGTTCAAGACCAGCCTGGCCAATATGGTGAAGCCCCGTCTCTACTAAAAATACAAAAATTAGCCAGGCATGGTGGTGGGCACCTGTAATCCCAGCTACTTGGGAGGCTGAGGCATGAGAATTGCTTGTACCTGGGAGGCGGAGGTTGCAGTGAGCTGAGATTGCGCCATTGCACTCCAGCCTGGGCGACAGAGTGAGACTCTGTCTCAGGGGGAAAAAAAAAAGAAAAAACTGGTTCTTCATGACAAATAACTTGAGAAGCTCTATGCCAAGGCACCTGTAAGCTGCTGTAGCTCCCCCATAAGGAAAGTCCGCTGTTGAATGGATTTGGGGAACCACAGCACTTAGCAAATGATATTATAATGAGACTCAGGTCTCTCTCTGTCTATCTGTCTCTCTCTCTCTCTCTCTCTCTCTCCCTCCCTGTCTCTCTTTCTGACTGTTTCCTAAGTGCAGAGACTCCATGCAGTTCATCTCCGTGGCCTCATTCCTCAGTGCCCTGCCTGGCACATTGCAGACTTTTGGAAATGTTTGTTGAATGCATGCCTGTCTGCTTTCTTGTTACCTAAGAGTGGGTGAGGACAGCCTCAGGAATTTCCCTGGGATTTCTGGTAGTGTCTTCTGCAGGATGGTGATGGAGAGCTAGGAGCAAATGATGAGGAAATGACCTTTCCTTCTTCCTTTCCCCATAGGACCAGGCCTCCTCTTCCCATCTGTCCAGCAGCATGAAAGCAGCATGACTGGCCGGCCGCAGGAGAAGCCCCCAGAACCAGGCCCCCAACTCAGCCATCTGCGGACGTCAAGGTAAGCTCACTTTCCTTCTTCTGGAAGGCTGAGGAATTTTCATTTTAGTACATTCTGTATGCGTTTGTAATCCCTTGCTATGTGCTAGAAGAATGAGGTTTCCTGGGATGAGGGTAGACTTAGAAAGTGCGTGTCAGCCTTACAGGTTAAAGCATGCTCATTTTGGTTAAAGGAGAGGCCAATATGGAGCAGAAAGGACTGAGCTGAGTGTCTAGAATACAGCTCTTCTTACTCTTCCACCACTTCCTGAATCTGGGACCTTGGACAGGGTCTTTCAGGATGGGGTATCCAGGGAATTTTGAATGAAAAAATCTCTGAGACAGGATAGAATGAGAAAGACTACTCAGTCCACGACCTGAGAGTCCCAGTACCTGCCAGACGGACTTCTGTCCCACACAGAGTCGTAAGGGGCCTTAGACAATCAGTCAGGCCAGTTTCCAGCCAGTGTTGGACAGTTAGTTGTTAGAAAGTTCTGTCTGCTGGCCTCTGCTCTGCCATTAGGAACCACAAAGACTTGGCTTTCAAAGACTCTTCCACATGCCTCTCTCATTCGGTTTGAAGATTTGAAGATTTGGCTGTCATGACTCCGTCTTTCTTTTTTGGTGTAAATTCTCCCTAGGGACTGGTGCCAGTCACCTTGTCCTCTCATCCCCTCCATCCTGGAAAGGGCTTTAGTTATCTCCAGTGTCTGCCTTGCTGGTTGCTCATGCAACCTGCACCATCTTCAGTAGAGAATCATTCATTCACCATTCATTCTTCAGTGGCTATTTACAGCCTCCTTTGTGACAGGCACTGTGCTAGACTCTGGAGATATCTCAGTGAAGAAGAAAGACAGGGTCTCTGTCCTTAAAGACAAAATAGGTTTAGATTCTTAGAGTTTGAAATATGCATCGAACTACTTCCGTGTGCTTCTTGTTTACATTTTTATCTCTGCAACTTTTTTCTTAAATGTCCCATAAGTGCTTGAAAAAAATCTTCAAATATTGGATATAGTTTTCTATGTACCATCATTGAAAAATAAGTTAGCTTATTGTGCAGCTCAAATCATCTATAGTATATCCTTTTCTGATTTTGTCTGATTATCAATTATTGAGAGAGGTGTTTTAGTTAAAGCCTCCCACTGGGTTTGTCAGTTGCTCCTTGGCAATGCTGAAATTTTTGCTTTATGTGTTTTGAGGCAATGCTATTTGGTGCATAGATGTTTAGAACTGGTGTATTTTATTGATGAATTGGGATTTATTTCTACCATCTTTATATACATTTAATTTTTTCTGCTCTTTCTTTTAGGTTGAGGTATTTTCCCCCCTCATTCCATTTTCCATCTTCTTATTTGGAATTTACACACTCTATGTCTGTTATTTCTGGGGTTACCCAGCTAACTACCTGGATAGATGATTGATAGATAGATAGATAGATAGATAGATAGATAGATAGATAGATAGATAGAAAGAAAAAACACTCTATGTGTGTTTTTTCAGGGGTTATCCAGCTAGCTGGATATGTATATGTAGATAGATAGATAGATAGATAGATAGATAGATAGATAGATAGATAG